AAAAAACGAGGACTGTGGAAATGCTTTTACTCATCGCGAAATAACTTTACCATTTGGGTTGTTGTGGCGACGCTGTAATCTGTTCCACGACGTTTTTTTTTTATTGTTCAAAAATTTTTCGTCGCCCTTGAAACAACATCTCGCACCACTCTTGTCTTGTATTTCTCCCAGTTTCTCGCTCTTCTGATTTCTTGGAGAGCGGCCTCTGGTGACGGGAAGTCGTTTTCCTGCATGGAAATAATGTAGACCTGTGTCAGTCTTCAAATCAAATGCATTTGTGTCGTTAAACCCCCATGTTAAAGAGTGGTGGTCGTCGCGCCTCGTCCTGTTCGATGTGGGACTCATAGCGACTTATGCAACGCGTAAAGCAATTTACTAACTTCCAAATGACGAACACCGACACATAAATGAATGCAGTTGTAGTTTTGAACTACAATGCTTACAACTACGTACGAGTACTACCGGTAGTACGTCATAATTTTTTTTGACGTCACAGTAGGGCAACGCTGCTAGAGAGCATGGCTTATTAGAAAGGTGTTTTCGCGCACATGTCTCGAGTTTATACCAATAATAAGTTCCTTGGTCTTTTAAAAATAAAGTTCTGGAGTTTTCTGATTTATTTTCATAGAAGATTCTTGAGGTGATCGAGATATGGTTAGCTCAGCAATACTTACCCCTAAACGTGTTTATTGATTGTGCTTGGCAAAAAAACATTTCCCCGTGATTACTTTTTCCTTCACGAAACACGTCACTATAAATTTATATTTGTTGCGCTACTCACCATGATACTGAGTGACTGCATCACTTTAGATGAGGCTTCGTTCAGGAAGAGTTTCTTGGAAACCAGTATACACTCGGCGCCCTCACTGATCAAACTTAGATTACTTGTTGATTTCACAGATTCCAGTCCCTGCAGCCGTAAAAAGAAACGGTCAAGTTTATTTTGATGAACGACCGATCAGTTCCACGAACAATGTAAGACATAATAGAAGAAAACTTGACATTGTGAGCTTCATCACTTGTTTTAAAGGGCGGCAGTCGTCGCGCTGCGCATGTGCGACATTTATGTTGATAAACATTGATTTTCCCAAAATCAAATGCGCTCTTGTAATTGCAATCACAAGTATGAGGTTTGATCTGGGCGCGACTTGCACTAATTACCGCCGGTGACTCCTTCGGTACCTTCCAATCACCTAAACAATACCTAATTAAAGCTCGGCAACGTCTCCGTTTGTACTCGTTTATCTGCGCAGTCGCCATTTTTGTTTATATGAGACCCATATATCTCGCGCATGAGTGGCGCGACGACTATCGCCCTTTAAATACACCTTCTTGAGTAGCTCTATAGTATTGCAATTACCACATTACATGCATAAGGTAATGGAATTATTTACTTACGAACACGGCTCCTGGTGTCATGGTTGCTATCTGTGCAAATACCGTGCGTACTCGATTTGGGTGTACGAGTAACTGCTTTTGTTTCTGTATATGAGAATACAATAATCGTAGTTGAATATTTATTTTTTGAATACAAATGTTCCCGAGTGAATTTTCTGAAAAATATTTTAGAAACGCAACCAATACAGATTTTTTTTTTACCGATCCATCTTCTTTGTCCTGTAAATTCTTGGCAGCCACTTGTAGCCTCTTCCATGTCCTCTTAATTCCATCGCTTGGAAATTTGACTGAAACACACAATTATTTTGGTTATTTACGAACTGCATAGTTTAAAATTTTCTCATAAATGACGCCCTCCAGTGACAAAGCAACTCTATGACGAAAAATGGCGCAGATGGATACTATACAATGTTGTTAAAAGTGACAATTGAGTGTGGCTGTCTAGTGGTGTCATTTACAATGTAGTAAATTATCAAGACTTAATTGTTTTAATGACAGACGACCACACAACTTCGACGCTGTAAACGGACTTTGCTCAACCAGAGGTACATTACTTGGGGTTTGCAACTCGCATAGTACTGTATGGTGACATCATGTCAAGATCCCATTCAAGTCTCTTCTCGTAGATAGCGAGACTGAGGCTACGACCTTCTGACATGACGCATATCAATGTTCAAGGTTTGTAATGAAAAAAATAAACTTTTCTTGTCACTATCATAGTGAAAAATGTAATACATCGAAAATGTACAGAAAATATAGTTCTCGTAATCCGTTATATCGTGGGCAGCTATTTTGATCCACCTGGACATCCCAGTATCCTAGTTACCTCGGGCATGCGCATTCGCATTTTTTCTGAGTTGGAACGCTTATGCGAGAGCGAGATTGTGACGGGATCTTGGTATCATGTCACCGTAGTTACAAACCCCAAGTAATGTACCTCTGGTTCAACTCATTTACGTCACAAATTACTTTGTCGCGAGAGGGCGCTACTTGAAAATGTATTTCATACACCTCTCTTAGAAGTGTTCTTCACTTGTGCTGGATTACTACATTAACCCTTGATCGCCAAAGTCAACTTCTGTTACATTTCCCCAAATATATTTTGTTAAAAAAAATAACTAAAATATATAAACTATATAAAAATGTTGAAATCATGGACCCTCACTTTGATGGCAAAACTTACGGCAAGGGTGAACCCCGGCGTTAATACATTGTAATTTAACATTGACAATGTAATAGCGTTGTAAAGCAATACAGTGTTTTACATCAGCACGACATTGGGGTTCATCTAAACATTCCCACGGATATTCGAATCAAAAGTTAATTATTTCATCGAAACATTTCCACTAAGTTGTCCGAGCAAACCTCTGACGCAAATCATTTTGGACACGATGTAGATCAGCGTGACATGGCGTGACGTGGATCACAAAACACATGACATCAACCACCCACGTTACCAACATACCTTTCTTTTCCACTGATGGACCAGAATCTTCTAGTTCGGGACTTTTTTCCGAAACACTCTTTTTTAATATCGAACTTTTCTTGCCCATCATAATTTCTAATGTACTCTAGAACGACAATACATAAACATTATTATTATTATTATTATTATTATTATTATTATTATTATTATTATTATTATTATTATTATTATTATTCAAGGGTAATAAGAGATGGGCAATGTGTATTGGGGATAATATGGCAAATTAAATAACTTAAAAATGTAGTAAAACAAATTCAGAACTACAATTTACAAGTTCATTAATAGCAAAGCGAAGCAAAAGTTGGGATATTCGAACAATGGCGTTGCATCTTCCCCATGGCCAAATTAATGATTACGTTATATATACAAACAGTAAACATGTATGTATGGCCACACAAATAACATCACAATACTATTGAATTAACTATTCTATGTTTTATAAC